ACATTTAGACCTAATTGACGTATTGCAGGTCATATGTGCTCTTTGGGAGGTGGCGGTTTTTGCAGCCCTAAGCAATAATGTCCAGGTGCTATTCCCTTTCCTTAGATCAGAGCAGCCTTCTTACTTTGTGCACGTGAGGAAGACTCCTGGTGGAGTCTCTTAGCTCTCATCTGATTTACGGGAAATGTGGAGCACCAAGTACCTGAAGTAAGAATAGGCAAGTCTCTGTGGGGTGCGGTGGAACACACAGGAATCCAGAGCTCCCCAATCTTACAAATTTTATGTGGAGTTTAATTAAAAGTAAATACTCAAGGGGTGCCTGGGTGGCTTGGTTGGTTAAGTGCCTGCCTTTGGTGCAGGTCATGATCTCCGGGTCCTGGGCTCCCTCTTTAGCAGGGAGCCTGCTTCCCCCCCTCCATCCCGCTCTGCCTCTCCCCTTTGCTCACTCCCATGCTCTCTGTCTCAAATAAATACAATCTTTAAAAAAAAAAAAATTCAAGGACCAGACCATTATTCTGGATTTTTAACACTTAAGAATTTTCATTTGTCCTAACTGATATAGTTACTAGAACATATTAGTTCGTACACCTATAGAACATTATTAGTCTTTGTAAAATGCAATTTGCACTATCCGTGAAGTCCTCGAGCACTGTGTTCCAAGAAAAACAAAGAGCAGAACCTGAAAAAAATGAGTCATTTTGATTTCTTCAAAAATTATAGAAGTCCTGCTCTTTGATAATAAAGGTTGATCTTTTTCTTGAGCTATTTATTATCCCTTTGTGGGACAGGGTTGAACTGCCTGAAAACTAGAAAATTATTTTTAGACAAAACATATAACTTCAATAAATTGATTCACCTGGTTCAATGGTTAAGAAATCTAGAACTGCTTCACATACTATAAACGTAGCCTATTTGTTACAGTACTTAAAGTATATAGTAATATTTTGGCTACTGTATAATTTACAGTGTCTTTCATTATTTCTCTTCTGGTTATTCTGTACCATTTAAAAATCTTTATTTCTTTGCGATAGAATGGTAGCCTTCATAAATATGTAGCATATTTTTTCCTTACGTACTACTACTGTATTAATGAAGGGAGACGTTTTACTGGAAGTCAGTAAAATAGAAGTGATATCCTTTATGAGCTTGCATAGCTTCTTTTCAATCGACACACTGAGTTGGGGCGCCTGGCTGGCTCGGTCGGTTAAGCATCTGTCTTTGGCTCAGGCCATGACCTCTGGGTCCTGGGATTGAGCCCCACGTTGAGCACGACCTTGGTCTCCCTGCTCAGCAGGGATCCTGCTTCTCCCTCTTCCCCACCCTCCCACTGGTCGTTTTCTTTCTCTCTTGCTCATGCTCTCTCCCGAATAAATAAATAAAATCTTTAAAACAAAAATGAAAAAAAAAAAATAAAAGCTGCACGGAGATAGAATTGTGTCTGAAAAGTCTGTTGGAGAAATGCTACAGTGAGCATGTGCTGGAGTCGCGCGCTGTCTGCGTCTGGTCTCAGTGGGCGTAAGCGATGTTCTCTTGCCTGGAATCCGTCTGCCACTGACAACACCAGCGGTCACACTGACACGGGCACCTCAGTCCCTGCTTAGGAATTCCCAGAAGGTGGGGTTCTACTTGTAAGTTTTCTTATGTTGAGGTATTTGTGTGTTCACGTTCTGTGTGTGAACTCAGCCATTTCCTACCACCCATCTGTCATGAGCCAGCGTGTTCTTCTAAACCCAGTAATGGTATCTGCTCCAGAGCTCTGCTAAGTATTGCAGAGACCCCCAAGGGAAGACAGATTCATTGGAATATTCTTGCTCAGATTATTTATTTATTCATAGTAGATCATTAATGGTGTCTCCCGAATGCCTGAGGGCATGTGGTGAGGCCTGAGAATTTTGTATTTCCAGTGTATGTTGTAAAACAGTGGCTTAAGATAAGGTTGCTTTCTGCCAGTGTAGAAGTCCCAAGGCTGGCATTTCAGGGCTGGTGCAGTAGCTCTGTTAGTAAGAGATCTCTGGATGCAATTGTCTTTTGCCCCTTTAGCGGGGAGGCTGCCATTCTTAAGGCTGCCTCGACATTGTTATCAGTTGCCAAAGCTCTAGCCATCTCCACCAGGTTCTTGGGAGCAGGGAGGGGAAAGAGGCAAGAGGGGCTGAGCATACACCACCCGCTAAATGTCTTTCCTGGAAGCCCCCTCAACATTTTTTATTTCTGTGTGTTGGCTACTCTTGCTTGTAAGCGAGGTTGGGAAATGCAATTTTGTACTGGGGAATTGCCATCCCTGGCGATCAGGGTTTGGCTATCAAGGAGGGGCCAGTGGACTTGGAGGAGGTAACTGCCTCCTCTGCCATACCTCTGATCTATAGCCTTCTAACACATATTCACCAAATCGTGTGCTCTGTGGGTTTCTTGACTTATGTTTGTTATAAGGAGTAAAACTTAGAGGAAATATTTCTAGGAATTCTTACTAGGCTCTATAGAATGTGAAGTGTGTGACTTGGGCACTGATTTTCTTTTCTTTCTTTTTTTTTTTTTTTAGGATTTTATTTATTTATTTGACAGAGAGAGAGAGAGAGATCACAAGTAGGCAGAGAGAGAGGGAGAGAGGAAAGCAGGCTCCCTGCTGAGCAGAGAGCCTGATGTGGGGCTCGATCCCAGGACCCTGGGATCATGACCTGAGCTGAAGGCAGAGGCTTTAACCCACTGAGCCACCCAGGCACTCCAGGGCACTGATTTTCAATCCTAAGAGAAGCTACACCCCCCAATGATTAATAAAACATTTTCTGATGCCTGCTATAAAAAATGTATGAATAATCTATCTTCACCTAAAATTTGTGTGTACACATATGTAAATCACATATATGCTACAGTATAAATTAGAGACAAAGGTGATTTATAATAAAATGTATTCCTATAAATGCCTAAGGACATGCACAATAGAAGGAAAAAATAGGTATTAAGATCTTTATCTATGTTGGCCATAGATCAAAAAACCATTGCGAATATATCAAGTGCAGATTGGACATGTGTTATATTGGTGACTCCAAAAGAGAGAATGGCATTATCGTGCTGCTACTTTGAAATGGTAAGCAGCTCTTACAAATTTCAAAAGTAAACCAGGCACTGCCTTGCTTTGATGAACATGGTAATCGCATTCCTGGAAAAATCAGTGTATGTTAGAGTAGGCCAAAAAAAAAAAAGAAGGAAGGAAGGACCTACACGTGTATGTGCTAAATAGAGCCCAGCTCAGACAATTGAGCAGGAAAGGTCTTCATTTTGAGGTAATAATATCCTGGCTCTCTCGATCCTCCCCCATGAGCCCCTTCCCAAATCCGTCATGGTGCGTCCCTCTCCACATCCCTTTCCACTGTATTGAAAATGCCCACGTGAGTTTCAGTGACTCATGCGGAAAGCTCTCTGCTTTAGAAGACTTCTATCTTTACTATTTTTGTTGTTACACATGCCTGATACTAAGTGGTTTAGTTGGTTCTTTTTCACCTATTTTCTTTGGTTCTGTCACCTTGGCTGTTTCTGCTGACGTTTTGTTGTCTTGACGTATTTGAACAGTTTTAATCTAGGAAGGCTGACAACCAGCCTTTGTGGGGAACAGTTAGCACTTCCCACGGAGGTCTCAGAATCAGGTCTTAGAAATCAAACACGTTCCATTCCAGCACGACTGGAGGTTGTAAGACCCTGGAAGGCTCTTCGACGGGCTCCTGGCTGCTACCGGCTTTCCATGTCGATGTGTTCCGTTCCCCTCCTCCTCCCACTCCTGCGGGTTTGCCTCTGAACCCTGCTTGTGTCTGTCCGCAAGGCTCCCATTTGCTCCTCCCTTCTGTAGAAACCCAGTGAGGTTTCCAGACTCAGCAGTATCTGAGCACAGGGATCGAGGTGAGGGCTGACACGAGAAGCCCCCAGATCACAGCCTCCTACATTGTAGGCCACGTGGCTTTTCTATTGTCTGGTGTCGTATTTTTTTTCTACCGCATCTGGCATAGTCCTTTATAAATCTTAAGAAGCACTTAAATATGAAAAATATGTCGTGCTTTTCTTTCCATTTTCCACTTTTATCTTTGCTTATTTCTTTGGCTACTGTGAATGCTTTTATTTCATTGTAATTTGGGAGTTAGCTGCCAGAATATAGAAATAATACTGAAATCTGTTTTAAAAAATGACGGCATTTTGCGGCACCTGGGTGGCTCAGTGGGTTAAAGCCTCTGCCTTCGGCTCAGGTCATGATCCCAGGGTCCTGGGATCGAGCCCCATTGGGCTCTCTGCTCAGCAGGGAGCCTGTTTCCCTTCCTCTCTCTCTGCCTGCCTCTCTGCCTACTTGTGATCTCTGTCTGTCAAATAAATAAATAAAGTCTTTTTAAAAAAAAAAAGATACTTTAAAAAAATAATAAAAAATGATGGCATTTTAATTAAAATTTCTTTAAGTTCATGAATGAAGTAAAATGACACTTTAAAATTTTTATCCTGTGAGGTAAAATTGCTATGCAACTACATCAGAAAGTTTACGTACAGATTCTTTGCCAAGGGCTAGATAGTATTTTTTTAACTGAGGTTTTGAGATTCAGTGTTAAATCTTGGCTCCACTGTGATTGTTTAATTCTAACAATATCTCAAGAGAAAATTATTACATTTGAATTTTAATTTGCAGATAACTCAGCAATGTAATTATATTAACTGACATATGCCACTTAAGGCAAAATATGATGTTTATTCACTACGAATGGCATCAACTATCATGTATGAAAGTGAACATTCTTTTAACTCAGTGTTCGACCACATTTGGTCCTGTGGCATCACTGGAGAACTGAGGGACTTGTTTTAAATTTTATTTTGTTCTTTATAAAATACGTCTTTGAGTAAAACTACAGTTATATTTGTGTACGTGTGTGAGTGTGTGTGTGTGCGCGCGCATGTCTCCAAGCGCACTGCCCGGGTCGCGGCCTGGGTAAAGCGGCGGCCCTTGGCTAATCGCCCCTCTGTTTTGTCGGAAGGTGAGCCAGGACGGGAAGTCGCTCCTCGATAAGCTCCAGCGGCCTCTGACCCCCGGCAGCTCCGATTCCCTGACGGCCTCTGCCAACTACTCCAAGGCCGTGCACCACGTCCTTGACGTCATCCACGAGGTGCTGCACCACCAGCGGCAGCTGGAGAACATCTGGCAGCACCGCAAGGTCCGACTGCACCAGCGGCTGCAGCTCTGTGTATTCCAGCAAGACGTGCAGCAGGTCAGTCTCTGGCTGCTTTGCCGCGGGGGGACGGAGTTGGGTGCTTGGGGAGCACGTGCCATCCCGGGCGATCTGTGCTGAGAGGTAAAGCCGGGGAGATGGGAGGATCGCACACGCACATGCACACGCGCACACAGCTGCTTTGCTTTCCGTGACTGGCCGTGGTGCTGACGATGTGCGCACGGGCTTCCGCCAGCTGCTAGCTCGCGTAGGCAGAGCACGTGAGCCGGGGCAGGGCCGCCGCTGGGGACTCGGGCATGTGTTCCTGAAGCAGGTCGTCCCAGTTACACTGACTGCTGAGAATAGTGCCAGAGGGGCTTCCCCCTGGTTCCCTTATAGCTCAGCATCTCTGTGCTCTCTGGTTCCTGGAGCGGTACGCTCACCGCGCGTCCCTTCCCTCTCAGAAGGCCCTGCGGTTCCTGGTGCCCTGTAGGTGCTTAACAGGTTCGAGTCTAGTTCACAGAAAGTGGAGTTTAGGACTATCAGTGTCTAAGCAGTTTTCACCTTGTTTGTTATTGTTACAAAAGTAAGCGTAAGCCTAGGCCCTAGCACTATTCATGCCTGTCTTACGGGGTAGAGAGGATTTGCCTGCTGCCAGGGTTTCGAGGGTTAAAGCTGTGGTAGCAGGTAAGTATAGTACAACGTTAGTGAGAAACAAGATAATGGTTGTGTCCTTGAAATAGAGGGGAAAAGGGTGTGGATGACGTGTTGATGCTGGGGCTGGGAGGATCCTGGGGTATGTGTGCAGGGAAGCCCGAGGAGGCGGTGGGCGGTAACGGTGGTAAGTCTGGAACAAAACCTCTCTCTCTTCCCTGAGCGCCCAGGAGCATTGTTCAGACATGTACAGGTTCAGATTTCATTCCCCCCACCTCGTGTCATCCAAGGGCCAGTGGGCTTTCCTGCTCAGTGGGCCGAGATGGTGGAGAGTCGTGCTGTGTTCCGATGAGCACATAGACTCTTCTGTATTTCATTGAACATCATTCTTCACGTAATGTGAGTCTGGTGAGTGCAGAATACTTTAAATTTCTCTATAATTTTAAATTTTCACATACAGTGCTTTGATTCTGCTTTTGGGTGTTTGAGTTCTCTGAAGATTCCATATACCCAGTGCCTCCAAAATGATCTTTTGATGTTATTCATGTTTCTTTCCAATGCTGTTTTAATCAAAGAGGATAATTGCCAGGGAAAGAATATAGCTTAGGGAGTAAACAGGGAAGGTCAATGTCAGGGAGTTATTTGTGAGAAAAGAGGTGTTGTGGTTGAAAGCATAAATATTAGCTTCTCCTAATTGTCTAAAAACTTCTATAGACCATGAAGTGTTAATAGTTTCAGTGCAATTATTAAAGGATTTTCCCACTCACCTCTCTGTCCCTTGGATCAAGTGTTTTTTACACACGCATGGACCAGCATGGCTTCTGGACTTGTGTCTGAAGCAGCAGCAGCGGCTCCCCCTCCCCGGGTCACCCCAACTCTGAGGGCTCCACAGGGTGCCAGGCGCATGAGAATAAGCCACTGGGCAGTTTATAGGGGGGGGGGGGGGAGAGGCACCTTTGGGAATAGGCTGAGGAGTCTAGCCATCTAATTTGGCACCAAGTACTTAATGCCCTTGAATTTGAAAACAGCAACCATTACATTTTCTATGTAGAAAGGTAATTATGATAATTATGAGACCAGTTCTTTAAGCTAGATTTTTCTTTTCCTCAAACATCAGTAGGTTGTGTTGGTTGGATGTCAGTGGGAGAAAGTGTTTTGCAATACACATAATGCATATATGGTCCTATTAGCATTCCATAGAAAATAGATAATTGCTCTTTAAGGGAAACATCTTTTTGATTAAATGATCTGGAATGGTCTGGACATGTTATGCAAACAGGAAATTGCTGTGTAGGCTTGACTTGTGGAGCAAGAACTGAAGTTGATAAGATTACACAAAGTAAGCACTTTACCTCGAAGGAGTCCATAGGATGTCAGAACCAACAGTGTGTTTCTGAAACTGAAGCAATTATAACACGTGGAAATTTTTGCTATTTTGAACATATACTGGGAGAGGTAAGCTGAGAATAAATGGAAAAAAAAAACAGTAGTCCTTATCAAAGACATTGTCAGCCAAAGGTAAATTTGTAAAGATGAACACAAAATCCACAAAAAATATAAGTCAACTAGGTACCACAGGTGCTTTTAAAACTGCTTGGTTGTTTTGAGTAATGAAAAGGCATCCATAAATCCTGCTGAGAGAAATGGTGGAATGATGACACTTTTATGGAAACAGCCCTCCCAAAGAGAACAGAGGACATGCATGTTTGTGGAAAAATCTTCCAAAGCATAGAAGCCAGAGGGTCAGTCGCATGTTCTCCAGGAAGAACGGCATGATCGAAGCATGAATAATTTTGGTTTAGTGTTCAATTTTTTTTTTTTCACAAGCTAAGGGAATGTTCTGATTTCTGCATGGAAAGTGTTTCAGATACCCAGACGCTGGGTGGGGGCAGGGGCGGGGAGGCCCCTTGCCGTTGGAGGAGCGGGCTAGGGACGGACTCAGACACACATGCTGCTGCTGGCAAGTAGAGCCCTTCGTCACGTTCACTTAAAAAGAAAACCAATACCCTGCCCCCTTTCTTGTCGCTAGAGCGATGGATGTGCTCCCATTGCCTTGCGTTCACTGTTGGCGCCGCCCTCCGTGGGTGTGCGCTTGCGTTCCTGCCGAGCAGAGCAGCGATCTCCAGTGTAGGCTACGCCGAAGGTCGCTCTAACGTCAGCAGTTTGGCTGTCCTTGTTCAAGGGCGAAGATGCGCGTGGCAGTAGCCTACGGTGGTCTGCTCGCCCGCTCCTTTGCCTCCTCGCCGCTGCAGTTGGCCTGCCTCTCACACTGGTGCCAGTTAGTTACTCCAGCACGCTGGGCGAGGTGGACGGGCCCCAGAATTCCCTTTCCTGAAGTAGGCAGCCCTCCCCAAGAGAGCCTCCCACCGCCACCCCCGCCCACGAGTGTGAACGTCACCCCTCTGAGTTACTTCATGGAAGAACTCCTTCCAGGCTGATGGGGGCCATTAACTGAGAAAACAGTGAAACAAATCCAGTATCTTCTAGATTCTTCTCACCCACATTTCATTCCTTTTTCTTTTTCAAATGTGTGACACTCAGACATACAGAGGTAACTGTGTTGCATATGTCAAAGGTCCTTTTCTCAAGGAATTGTAATCTAGTAAAAGCAGATCATTTGATAGTCTAATAAATTATACCATAACATGCTCAGATTTAGTGTTTAATGCCTCTGGTTGTTGCCAGGTATAATTTCGCTCAGGCGTGGATGTGAGTCATTTCATTCCTCCAAAGGGGTTAGCTGGAGTGAGGGAGGGAGTACAGCTCGCCGCCCTCCTCCATGTTACCTGCCTACCTTGCTCAGGCATCTTGAGGATGAATATCTGAGCTTCAATGATTTGTTTAAACGTGGGGGTTCCAGAAAGCCTCGTCCGTCTCCATGTCAAATGTAGGGGTCTGGTATACAGGGCGATCGAGGAGACCCGTAACGGAGGCGCAGGTCGTGAACACCTTCACAGGAGAGGTAGGTTTGGAGCTGCTCGTTGAAGGATGGGTAGGAAGTCAGCAGGCCGAGGACCGGGCAGCGTGAACAGCGCTGAGATTCGAGACCCAGAAGGCCAGGGCCTGTCCACGGAGTGGCAGGCAGCCCGGCGTGGGCGGAATGGAGGGGTGTGGAGGTGGGAGACGGGGCGGTGCTGGGAGGGTGACCTCATAGTGAAAGCTTGCGACGTGGCTCTGTAAGTGTCGGGATGCCGGGGAAGGGGCACGGTGCACCTTGCCTGAGTGCTTATGTGGGTGCCAGGGCCTGGGTGACTTGTGAGTGGCTGTGAGGCTTACGCGAGGAACACGTACATGGCATCCGGCTCGTCTCAGTGCTTCGGGTTCTTACTCACGGGTCTTTTGCTCGCCTCTCTGACTCTCACAGCCACTCTGTTGAGCTTCCCCCTGCTCTGCTGAGCTCACACCAGGCAGGGCCTGTGCCGCGTGCATTTTGACGTGACGCTCTGGGCGCGGGAGGTGGAGGACAGGATGCTGCCTGGGTTAGGAAGCTCGCCCTGTTTGCAGTGTGGCGAGGGAGGTGAAGGGAGGGAGACTCCAGTTGAGGAGACAGGCTGAGTCCTCTCGCAGCCGTCCATGCGTGTCGCAGAGGAGTCGTGGAGAGCAGCAGTGTGAGGTCCGTGGGGCGCTGATCTGGATTTTACTCACTGGTGTTTCCCAAGTGTCTGGGATTCAGTTCAGTATTTGTCGAAGGAGTGAATGGATAGATGAAGAAATTTAAGGAATTACCCAATATTTCTAATTAAAGATTCTTCTGGGTTAAAAGTTTTATTCTGGAATGGGGGTGGGTTGGCCTTATGTTGGAGATAAGTGATCTAACTAGGAGATCTGCTTGAAGGAATAGGAGTGTTGCTTGATGCTGGGGAATCAGGAGTGGCTCAGGAAGGAAGGGATAATTTCAGTGCCTGGCAATTGTGCAAATGCAGTGAGGTCTTTAGTACGGATTCTGGTCACTTGAATACAAAATGAGGGTCTTAAATGCTGCAGGGGGAGGGAAGTCAGGATAGGCCATCAAGGCAAAGAAAGAGGTTTCAGGTGCCCAGAAAAGCTATTTTATTGGTTTGCCTTGGGTCCTACCTAGGCTGCTATCCTTATGCCACTAAAAGCCATCTCATTGTGATGCTTGACTTAGGAGTTCTTGGTTGGTATCACTTACAATGGACCTAGCTTTTGAGAGAAAGTTTCTGAACCTCATTGTCCTTTGCTTATTAATTTAAGTCAGGAGGGTGGGTTTTTCTCGTCCCACTCACCAGAATCATTATATAGCCCTAGCTACTTAACATTCTCTTCTGTTTACATTCCCACACTCACAGTTTTGATGTGGCTGGTGATAAGAGTGGTTAGAGGATTACCATCTTTTCTGAGAGCTTCTCCATTGGAATTAGGGAGTGCTGGAGGGTAAGTGTTCG